AGTGCAAAATAGCTCCATCTTTTTTGAAAGAATTTTTTTTTAAAAAATAAACTTTTTAAAAAAAAACAAAACGAAAGAAAAGTTTTTGAGAGGAATTGTAAACGCATCATAAAGCGATAAAAGCCTTAAGGCTTAGGCTTCTCTTTCTATTTTATACTCTACGACAAGCCTTACCAATTGGTTTCTATGCCAAGGACATCTCATTAATGGTCTTTGTATTTTCTTTTGGCTAACTTCTCCTTTTTTTCTTTACCATTCCATTTTTCCTTTCTCTCATTTAAAAAAAAAAACAAAAACAAAAGCATACATTCATGTTCCATAATAATCCACTAATTATCTATTTCCCTTTTCTTTTTATTCTTTCATTCCGTATTTTTTTGTTCTTTTGTTTTTCCCTCCCACATATTTATATAAATATAAAAGACACACACACACACACATATACATATACGCATATGTATAGACAAATTTGTGCATGATAGTATAATCAAAAAATAAAATTTAGCAGTAAAAAATTGAGTAGAAGTAGAATATGTTGGAAAAAAATTAGTTATACATGATTTAAAGGTGAGTTAAAAGTTAAAATTTAAAAGTTAAACTATTCTGCCACTTTTAAATTATGATTGTCTTCTTGTCAAATATGAAAAAGAATATCAAAAAAAAAAATTCAAAAATGTAATTTTTTTAGGCTGATCAAAAATTCTGATCAATTAAATGCAATTTTTAAACCGATTATTTAAAATTTCAATTTTTGACAAAATTGAATTTAATTTCGGTGAAATTGGATTATCGAAGAAATAATTCTATAAGAATTTCATTTTGTAAAATCACACAATTCATGTAGAATTATTTCGTCAATAATTCAATTCCATTGAAATTAAAATTTGCAATAATCAGTTTAAAAATTACATTCTTTTCATTTAATCAATTTCTACAATAAATTAGTGTACGGTATAATTTTTGGCTTATCAAACAATTTCAAATATCATTGGATAAGATGGAATTTCTTCAAAATAATAATTTAATTTTATTAAAATTTCAAATTTTAATAAACAAATGTAAATATATCTAAAAGAAGCAAAAAAAAAAGAATGAAAGTTTGTGCCTAAGCAATAATACTTTATGAATATTTGGAATATTTTTAGGAATGCAAAAGAAAAAGAAAAAGGAAATTAAATCATAAATTTAAAAAAAAAAAAGGAAGAAAGGGAAACTAGCTAAATAAATAATGTTAGTTAGATATGAGAAGATAATAATTTAACTAAAACTGGATTAATATGAAATATGACAAATTAGTGCACTTCTACGCTTTAGTTATTAGTGTTAGCGCAAAATAAATGCATTAAAAAAAAAGAAAAGAAAAAATGTCCCTTGTGAAATATGACACTTGCGCTAATTTTTTTCTTTTTCATTTAATCAAAAGTATCAAATTTCATTTCACCCATCAATTTTTGATGCTCAAAATATTTTATAGCAACATTAAATTAATTATTTTTAAAATTTTAAACGAAGAAAATGAAGAAGAAATTTAATTAGAAAAATTTTTTATCAGTTATTAAATTTTTTTCTCACAAACAAGCAAAAAGTTGAATAACATCTTTATCAGTTAAAAATTTTGTTATCACATAAATATGTATCAGTTTAAATTTTACTGCCGGATAACTTTTATTACATCTATTGAAATTCTATTGTTATAAAACTTCCTTATTAATTAAAATTCCGCTAACAAATAAATTTTTTATCACTAAAGATTTTAATCTCCTATTAATTAAAATGCTGCTGTTGAATGGATTTTTTTATCAGCTAAAGTTTCACTACTGAACAACTTTTTTATCAATCAAATAACTTCCTTATCAGATAAAGATTTCCCTGTCAAGCAACTTTTTTGCCACCTAAAATTTTAGTATCATGTAAGATAACTTTTCATTCTAAAATATTGTATTCTTCCTTTCTTTTGATCATTGATTATTCCCATGAAGTTATCAGATATGTAATTTATTGCATTAATTTAGAAATAAGAAATCTTTTTTTCCTAAGATCAAATTATTTGGATGTAATTTTTAATCGCTTAAAAATTTCCTCAAAACACATTGAAAGAAATTTCTCAAAATAAACTTATTTACTTTCATATGGATTTTCCTTTTTTTCTTTATCACTGAAATTCAAAGATATATTTGCTAATAACGATGAACAAACCTCGAATTATTCAACTTATGGAATATTAATATTATATTGTTATTATTTTTATCAAATTTCTACTATTTTATTTATTCTTTCCTGATATTTAGTTATAATTACCAATTCTATTTATTAAATTTGATTGTTTTCTTTTAAAAAATAGTTTGTTCTCAAAAAAAGTAAGAAAAAATATTTCAATTTTTTTTTTGCATGTGTTAAGCTTAAATATCGTCTAAGAAAGAAACCTAATCGTCTGCTTGTTAATATATCACCGATATAACTTCATGATTT